TTCAGTGGCAACCTCTTATACAAAAGATAGTGGCAAGAATATCTTCATGGACATCTAAGAAACTATCCTATGCAGGAATAGTGCAGCTAGTACAAAGTGTGATCTTTGGCATTCAAGCATACTAGGCTCAGCTGCTACTATTAACTGTTAAAGTGTTGAAGATTGTTGATACCTACTATAGGAGCTATATATGGCTAGCCACCAATACCATCACTAAGAAGGCCCTGATATCCTGGGACAAGATTTGTTCTCCTAAGTCTTGTGGAGGCCTAAATCTAGTGAACATCCACTTGTGGAACAGAGTTGCTATCACCAAAGTATGCTGGGATGTGGAAGCTAAGAAGGATATACTTTGGATTAAATGGATTCATTCATACTATATCAAAGGACAACAATTTTTACAAATGCCAGCTCCTAAACAAGCCTGCTGGATGATCAGACAAATTTTCAATGCTAGAGCGGATTGGAGTCAGGTGCAAAGGAACAACCATGAAACTAGTATGATTAGCTAGGCACATATATCTGCAGCTACTGAGACAAAGATCTCGGGTGAATTGGAAATGCCTAATGTTTCAGAACATTGCGAGGCCTAAAGCACAATTTACCATGTGGATGTTACTACATGGAAGACTACTCACTACAGATAGACTGCAAAAATGGAGAATAACAATGGATACACAATATGTACTATGCCACAACCATGAGGAAAACAGGGAACATCTGTTTGTCTACTGTGAATATAGCAAGAACATGTGGAAGAAGATCATGCAATAGATGCAGCATGAATATAGAACTACACAGTCCGGGGAGCAGCATTTTGAATGGAGTTTGCAACATGCTAAAGGCAAGAGCAATAGAGCAAAGATATTCTGGATGGTATATGCGAAGATATCACATGCAATCTGGATTGAGAGGAATCTAAGGATCTTTGAGAAGAGGGCTAGAGACTGGAATGCTACTGCACGTGAGATAGCATACATATGCAACATTAGAGCAACTACTGGCATTCAGAGATTAGTACATAGTTATATTTTTGTTTGAGTGTGTACAGTTCATATTGCATAGGAGATAGAGTTGTAATGAGATAAATAGTTGTGTAAGCGATGCTATGGCTTTGTACAGTTTTATCGGTGATTAATATAAAAGTGGACTAATTACCAAAAAAAGGAGGTGAATTAGTAATAGTTATTGTAATATTTATTTAGTAATAATTTTTTTGGTCGATAGATCTCCCAAGTGTCAATTTTGATGAATCAAAGGTGTATGTTTATGGTATAGAATATGAAGAGCAAGAATGTAATCGCTATGGCTTGTACTATCATCCGCGATAAACTTCTTTCATTCATTAGTATAGAATCAGGGCCGGCTCCAACCTTATGTGGAATAAGGCATGTGCCTTAAGCCCCCAAATTTTGGGGGGCCCATTTTTTAAAAATAATAGGTTCGTAGATATTTAAAAATAATATTTAGTATTTTTAATACAAAACTAGAGTTATTAATATAAAGTAAAGAATTTTTTTAGATATATAAATAAAATAATAATTTGACTTACTTAAAAATGAGTAGATTAATAGTTTTCATAACTTTTAGATTTCCATTTTTTACTCCTTCATTAAAAATATTTCTCTCTCTTCCTTAAAACCCTACATATTTTTTGTGTTTCTCTTTGATATTCTTACTCACTTCTTTCTCCAAGATTTTATCACTCATCTTCTTTCTCCAAGATTTCACTAGTTCAAGTGTTCAACAATACTTTCAAGCTGCTTATAGTTCTATACTTCTATTGCTTTGTAAAATTTTATCTAAGATCAACAATATCTCAAGAAAGATTAAATAAGTCGGCTATACTATCAATCGAGCAAGAATTATTAGAGAAAATCGATTATAAAAAAAATTATTAACAATTTTATATCTCAAAAAGTTAGAAGAATAGACTTCAAATAAAAATATATCTTACAACTTTCTTTTAAAAAATTTAGGCCTCATATTAAACTTTGACTTTAGGCCCCGTATGTGCTTGAGCCACCCCTGTATAGAATTGGTAGAATCCTTTTGCCACGACCCAAATCGGAGGGCCACGACGGGCACCCGATGTCTTACTCAACCGAGTACCAGCATAACGTATCTTTATTATCAAACCATCATGGGTAAATGGGTCAGAAGGGCCGTCATGAAATAACCGGAATAAAACATAAGGGAATACTAGACATAGGATGACTTAACATGATATAGAAACTTATACATGTGACATACAGACCTATAAGGCCGACATGATCATTTGTAAACTAAAAACATAGGCCGACAAAGCCATACAAGTATCCATATACCTGATATTTGTCTACAAGCCTCTAAGAGTACATAAACGTCATAAAGGTCGGGACAGGGCCCCGCCATACCAGTCAATACATGTCCAAAGCATACTGACCAAATAGGCAACTCCGAAGCAAGTGGAGTGCACCAACACCTTCCGCTTGAGCTGGTAGCCTACTAGAAGGATTGCCAACCTGTCTATCGGGACTTGCGGGCATGAAACGCAGCGTCCCCAAGCAAAGGGACATCAATATAAATAAAGTAACGAGTATGTAAGGCATGAAAGCAATATATAAAAGACATGAAAGAAACATGGAGTAAAGAACTCAAACTGTAAGTCTGAATAGCTCTGTGAATCATGAAATGTTTAGAATGTCATGCATATGCGTATAAATGTCATATCATGCATAGGTATATTCGTACATAGCATCATCAAGCCTCTGAGGGCATCCCATCATATCATCTCGGCATCTGTGGGCGAAATCATCAACGTATACCAGCTGATCAAGTGATAGTGTGTATATAACACCATAACCCTTTCCTATACACCATATATATATATATATAATATACGCGTATATAACGCCGTCTGATCATGGGTCAATGCACATGTATAAATGAATGCAATGTATAAGAAGTAAGTCAATAAGATCCCTCGGAATGTCATAAGATCTATATGCCTTTGGATAAACTTTATAAACTTATGTATTTTCTAAGACCCATGAACAAACGAGGAATCAAGAACATAGACACCCCTAGTAGTTCTAAGAATAGAGTCATTTGTGAAAGTTGCGTGTTTGCTCGTTTCGTTTGTATCATATGGGTCATGCCAAAAAGGAAAGAAGGGATAGACTTAACATACCTCAAGTCGTCAATGCAACTCAACAACAAGCTTATGACAACTAGCGCGCCAACCCTATAACAAAGAAATACATGTACAACTTAATTATATGTCGCTAGTATATCACGTATCTCAAATGATAACTCGATTCTAAAATAAAACGGGCAGCATTTCCCCTGATTTTGCTGCTCCCTCAAGCCTACTATTGGAGAGATACAAACACAATACAATCAGCAACTCAAAAACAACCCAACCACAATTCGCGACCTTCAATCCAACAAAAATCCCAAATATACCATAACACACCCAATCAACAAGTTAACAATTAGCCTAAATTGCAACGACGAGCGACCAGTTTACTACCCTACCATATGTGGCATTTCTCCACGCCCTTCATCCTTCCAAACTCCATAAATCAGCAGCACAATAGGCCAACACGAGTGGACTACAAAACAGTCCACTAAAAGTGAAATAATTCAAACTCACCGCTTCTGATCATCGTCTCGTGAGTTCTAACTATTAGGAAAATAATTTATCAACCTTCCTTGATATTTAAAAGCTTAAATATAGAAAGTAGACGTTTTCTTAACTATGAAGTACCTTCCAAAACTCAAACTATAAATAAAAAGAGAGGCAATATAGCGATACTTACGTCGTAGGGATCGTTCTAATGCTATCGCTTCTTGGTTTCGTACCCGGGATGTTAATCTTTTTTGAAAACCTAGAAGAGAGCTTAAAAATATGTGTATGGTGTTCTCTTGTCGTGTTCCGTGGGAAATTGAAGATAAAGACGACCTAAGACCTATACATATCAACTTTTGAAAAGTCAAAGAGGTACTAGCTTGGCACCCTAGCATTGGCTCTTCTTTCGATGCTTATATCTTTTTATTCAGATGTCGTATGAACGAACGGTTAAGAGAATTGGAAGCTACATTCCAAGACCTTCAATTTGGTATACAATATGTCTCAAAAACACCCCATATAACATACAAAATGTATTGCTCAAAAAGCTTTAGTGACACCTACTTGTCACCTATGCAGTCTGTTAGTCTCGCGAAACTACAAATATCTTTTTACTCCGATGTCGTATTGACAAACATTTTAATGCGTTAGAAACTAGACTTGTAGATCTTTAATTTGATATGTGGATCATCCCGTAATTTTAAGTATATTGGGAGAAAAGCTCTGCTGCATTTGACCTAATTTTCAACACATTTATGAATGTAACTTGTGATGACCTTTGCCAACTTTTGTTCCACTAGTCGCTTGACTTCAAAACGTAATATACGACTATCATACGACTAAAATAACTCATAATATAACCTTCTTATCATGTTAAACACCTTATTCTTATCCCAAGAGTACATGTTGTAATATTCCCAACTTGTTGACTTTCGGCGAAACTTATTTTCTTCAGTTTGTTTAGCTTCGTCTTTCAACCCTCCTGGTACTTGTTATCAATGATCTTAAAGATGTGTAACCTCCAAAGTAACATGATTAACTTACTTGATGTACTTTCAAAAATAATTTCATTTCTGAGCTTACATTAATTGTCTTACGACGTAGTCTTACGTACGAAAAATGGGTGTAACACCTTTCCTGGTATACTTGGCATTAGTAAATTATTCTTTTTAGATATATCTACAATTAAAAAAAAACATATTGGCACACCTCTTTGATAGACTTTCCCGTCCAAAACTGGTTACGTGTCACGTAGTCATTGGCATATCTATTTAATCTCCAATACCGACGATAAAATATTAATCATAGAGCCCACCAATTTTCCAATCCATTTTAAAAAAACATTATCCATTTTACCTTCTGTTTCCATTTAAACAAAAAGCACAATCCCCACTGCACAATATACAACACTTAACTGATCTCTTCCAAAAACAAGTCGATAATCACAACAAAAAACGAAAAAAGCAAAACAAAACGCCGTAGAAATACCAAAAAACCCTACACACAATAATTTCTCCGCCATCTTCAAGCTCCGAGTCAACTCTCTCCCTCTACTTTCTCTCTCTAGATATATTCAGGTATATGTAATTTTGCAGTGGAAATTTAGGAGTTATGGCGGCTGCGGCGGCGACGGAGAGTTCATCGGCTAGATCTGCAAGTGGAGGATCATCGGCTGATTCATATATTGGAAGTTTAATTAGCTTGACGTCAAAGAGTGAGATCCGTTATGAAGGAATTCTCTATAACATCAATACTGATGAGTCCAGTATCGGTCTTCGAAACGGTACTTTTTTTTTTTTTGAATTGTCTCTTAATTTTAGTATAACTTTTGTTACTTTATCGATTTTTTGAAACTTAGATCTTTATCAACACCGATGAGTCCAGTATCGATCTTCGCAGTGGTACTTTATTTGCTTAATTGTAATCCGGAACTTTTTTCTGAATTATCTCTTGATTTTAGTATAATTTTGGTGATTTTATCGACTTTTGGAAAGTTAGATCTTTATTTATCTGATTGATGATTCATTTCAGCTGCTACTTTAGGCGAAGTTGTTTGCTTATGGCAAAGCTGGTTGAAATTTTAAGATTTTTTCCCGTTTTAACTTTTTTTTTTCCTTTAAGAGAAATTTTTTGTTGAATTATGTGCTTTCGTGAAAGCTTACTGAAAATTGAGATTTCTCATTTTTAATTTTTGTGTTAAAGAGAAAACTTGAGTTGATTTAATGCATAATTATCTCTTAATTTTATATTTTTTGGTGAATCCGGTATTCTTTTTTGAAAAAATTAGATCTTTATTTATTTCATCTATTATTGATTATGCGCCTAGCTTAAAGTTCATAGAAAGCTGAGATTTTATTATTTTACGAGCAAAACTTGAGTTGAATTGATGCATAATTATCTCTTAATTTTATAATTTTTGGTGAATTCGGTATTCTTTTTTGAAAAATTAGATCTTTATTTATTTCATCCATTATTGATTATGCGCCTAGCTTAAAGTTCATAAACGCTGAGATTTTTATTATTTTAAGAGCAAAAATGATTTGAATTAGGTGCTTTGATGTGTTTTTCAGTATTCCTATATTGCTATTTTTTGGATATATTGGTGTAAGGATGTGAATATGTATGCCAAGTTGATAGTATGTAAAGTTGGAACCTTAGTTAAGATGAGGGAATATTACTGCATCAGGTTTAGGGGAGGTGGTTGTGTATTTTTAACGTAATTGAACTTGTAGTAGATGATTTAAGCTAATTAGTTGCAGAAAAATTGGAAATACATTTTTATGTGCATTTGTTGTTTAACTTATTCAAAGTAGCATTGTAAAAAATGAAAATTGATTCCTATGCTGAATCATGTCTGTAGTCTTACTTTCTTAACTATCATGATATTGATATGACAATGTGGTAAAGCTAGTTTGTACATCAAGGAAAAAGGTAAAGCGTTGGTCCACTAAAGGAGGAGAAATATTGGAAAATTTTGCAGAATTTAGTTTGATTGTACTTATGCGATGATGGAGTTTTCTAGGTTGATCTTCTGTTGTTAACAATGTGTTCGCTGAAATATAAAGTGATATAGGATCTGGCAATTGATTATGATTTGTCATTGCAGTAAGATCATTTGGAACAGAGGGAAGAAAGAAGGATGGTCCTCAAGTACCTCCGAGTGACAAAATTTATGAATACATACTTTTCCGTGGAAGTGATATCAAGGTAATATGCTCCGCTATGGACGTTTATGTTTTGGTGCGTTGTAAACTTAAGTGCCATCACGTATTTCTTTGTGAGATCTCTCTCCTTTTTTTTAATTACTTAATAGTGTCGTAGGTATCTTGAAGTCCATTTATAGTTTCGAAGAGTTTCTAGTGTTTTAATTGTTCAAAAGATTATTTCAGAAGTGGGAGCAATCTTCTCTTCAGATTTTATGGTACTCTGGCATGCAATAATCTCCATTACAAGAACTTAACTTTGGGGTTAATGTCGGAAAGACAAAAGGCACTTAATAAAAAGTGTGAACTTGTTACTCAGTGCAGCCCTTACCTTTCTTTTGATCTTCGTGATCAAGAAACAAGTTCATTACACTATGTACCCCTGCATTTGATTAGATGGCCCTTAAGTTTGAGTCTCTGTTTTTTAGCACGGTCCTTAGGTAAGCGAATAGTGCTGATATCCTTTTGATGTGTTTATCTGATCAGCAAATCATGTTGCTTGATTGCACTAATCTGGAGAAGGTGCAAAGAAGAGGCTATGTGCACTGAAATTCATAAAGTCATATCCTCTGTTCGTATCGTTTTGAGTTGGCATTAGTTGAGGAATCGTGTTGGTTGAAATGTGGTAGGTAGATATACTTCTTCAGGAACCTGAGAATTTTAAGTGAAAAAACTCGGTCCCCTTGCTTAAAGAGGTACCTTACAATTGAGAAACATAAGAGGTAGGCAAATGCCAATCGTGTGTGATATTGGCATCTATTTGCTTGTTGGGCCTGTATCTTTAAATGCAGACATTGGATTTTCTTATAATTGGCATATGTCTGGCCGTGATATTTGCATAATTGGTGTTTCATAAATGAGTTGCATTTTGCCCAAATTTTCTTTAAACTGATACACCGAGCTAAATGTTGATATGTATTTTGCTTCTTGCAGGATTTACAAGTTAAGTCTTCGCCACCTCTTCAAACTACACCACCAATAAACAATGACCCAGCTATCATCCAGGTAAGCAGAAAGCAATTGGGCAAATGTTTAATATTGTGTGTGATTGAATTCTAATTCTTCTAACCTTCAGTCACACTATCCTCGACCACCTACAACATCGGCAAGCGTACCTGCTCCTGTTGGGGGATCTTTGACGGATCTAAGTTCCCATTCTGCACAGCCGGGACATCCTGGCTCAGCATTCCAAAGTGGCCTGCCTTTGTATCAACCTGGAGGGAATTTAGGATCTTGGGGTCCATCACCTCCTCCTCCGAATGCCGGTGCTGGTGGACTTGGTATGCCGATGTATTGGCAAGGTTTTTATGGTGCACCCAACGGACTACCACAAATGCAGCAACAATCTTTGCTTCGTCCTCCTCCCGGACTTGCCATGCCTCCTTCCATGCCGCAGATGCAGTTTTCTGGGTTCAATTCGTCTTTGCCAACTGGAGGATCAAGCCTACAGGCGTCAAACTTGCCAGAATACCCTTCTTCATTGATGCCTACAACTACTAGTCTAGGCGCTAGTTCTTTACCTGCTGCTACTTTGCCTTCAACTGTGCCTCCCCTGCAACCTGTGGCACCTGTGACTGAAACAATATCCAGCACACTTTCAAACAAGACTTCTGTTTCTGCTATTGCCCCATCGACATTAAGTGCTAGTTTACCGACTTTGCCTCCTTTGACAACAAGTCCTGATGTACCGCCAATATCTATTAAACCCAATCCAGTACCTAGCCCAGCTTTGTCTCAATCTGTATCTACTGTCATGGGGCCATCCAGTTCTAATCTAGTGGAGACACCCACGCCTTCGCTGGTAACTCCGGGGCAGCTGCTGCAATCTGGACCAATTGATGTTCCATCAACTCAATCTACACAGACAGCTCAAAAAGATGTTGAAGTGGTACAAGTATTGCCTGCACCATCTTCAGAAACTCCAGCTCCTGTTAAAACAGAAGCTCAGCCACCAATATTACCATTACCACCTCAGACACGTGTACAGAAGGTGCTCTTTTATGATTATTCACTTATTTCTGAGTACTTGAAAGTTTTGTTTATTTGCGCATTTGTTTTTACATTCTTGATCTTCCTGAGTGGACAATATTAGGCTAATCCATTCCTAGCGTATTATAATCTTGTTTGAACTTTTAATTTGGAAAAAGTTGAATTTAGTGGATGCTTGTTCCTAGGACTATCTGTAATTAAGTTGGAATACTTGATGAAGTACTCGAAACTGCCTTTCCTGGAAAAAGTATCCTACTTGAGAGTGGCCTTTTTCTCGGAATTTCTTTTAAAGTATATGAAGGCTTTTTTTTCACTGTTTATTTATTTGTAATATTTAAAAAAGCAGATAATTCTATCAAACATCAGGTGAATATTGCTAGATGTCCCTATAGATTGCGTTGCTATGCAGTCTTCTGTAGACAATAACACCATTTCTGTATCTTTTATATGATTTCCTGTGCTCCACCCATTGATACATGATACGATGACTATTAACAGTGTGGTAAGGGATGGTAAAATGTTGTTATGAGAAGGAAGCTTGGTGCCAATTTTGTTAACCACACTATATGCTACCTTATGTAAATTTGATGCGTCCTTATGTAAACTAGTGACCAGTTTTTTATTGCTACTATCTCTTTATCATGGATCTATTGCAAAGAAAACTTTAGACCCATGACTGAAGTTCACCAGGAAAAAGAATTGTGGTGTTTCACTTTAGCTACGTAGTATAAATTCTAGTTTACCTTTACCTTCATCAAAATAAATAAATACTTTTCAGTGACCTATTTATTAATCAATCTTAACATTGCAATGCTCTCAACAACTTTAATTTTGCTTTCCCTTTATTGCTTCCATCTCTTCATCGTGGATCTTTTGGCAACAAAAATTAGTTTCCTGACTTCAAAAAAAGGGATAGACTCATGATGTACTTCATGGTGATGTGGTTGCTGCCATTTAATTATACTTGTATCATCCTTTGCATTTATACATATGCCAAAAATCTCCTTACTGCTGGCAAAATCCTGTTGTATTTATTTGGAAGCTAATAATCTCCTTTGATTTTCTTTTCTTTTAGACAAATGGAGCTCCATATCAGGCACGTTACAACAACTACAGAGGGCGTGGCGGAAGAGGAATGGGGGTAATCGATTATGTGCATATTTAAACCATTATAAACCTACTTCTGTGTAATTTGTGGAATTATATTCATATTTATTCATATCTATATCTGATGTCTTAAAGTTAAATCTTTGTGTTCTTTGTAAAAAGTTTCAGTCTGGAGTTATAAGTCCTTTTATGGACGTAACAAATCTAAATCTGGCCCTTTCTGTGATGAATGGCCGAAAGGGGGTTAATCCAATATTTTTGCATTCAATTTAATCCTTAATAGTGGACTAAATGTTTGTGGTGTATATAATGCAAAGCTATGAATGCGTTGTAAGGAACTTTGTAAGCAGAGTATTTCTTGGAAGCTTATTTGCTACTAGTATTTATTCATTCTGGTCGTGTAACCAAACGTTTGAGTGTGCATGACCATACAAGTAACATAGGTAGGTTTGATTTAAAAAATACAATGAAGGTAGGTACATTATGACCAACTTTGTCTGATCGCTTGAGTTTCATTGTCATTTACCCCATTTTACTGTTGGCGTAGCTGTTATAATCGTGAGATTTGTATGTGCCTTCAAGTTACTGCTACATTTATGAACAAGTTCAGCTAGCTCCCATATATACATTTCTAGGGCTAGGATTTGATATCAGTGTTTTGACTTTGCCATTCAATATTTTTACGTAATCGTACATGCAACCTTACATTGAAAGATGAATCTTAAGTCCATAAGTTGTGCCCTCCAATGAATAATCTGACGCGTTGCTTAAATGAATATACTAAGGTTAATGTGACGGTATTGGAGCAGTCCTTTTATTTTAATTGACTTTTGAATGCCTGAATTTGTTTGGTTAGGCTTGTGATTTATAATAAATGACCTTTTCTTGATGATAGATTGATTAACTTCCTCGTCAGGTTTCAAGACCAGTAACAAAATTCGAAGAGGATTTTGATTTTATGGCCATGAATGAGAAGTTCAAGAAAGACGAAGTGTGGGGTCATCTTGGCAAAAGTAACAGAGAAGGAGATGGAAATGGCAGCGACGAAGATGTCTCTTTCAATGAGTATGATGATGATCTTCCTAAGATTGATGTCAAGGTGGTTATTTAAATTCTCTTCGACCTCAATTCTTATGCATACCCTTGTCCACGTATCTTGGACCTAGCTTTGTATTTATGTTTAAGATCTTTTCTTTCTGCAGCCTGTTTACAATAAGGATGATTTTTTCGACTCTTTGTCAAGTAATGCACTTGATAATGACCCAAATCATGGAAGGACCAGGTTCTCTGAGCAAAGGAAGATAGACGTTGAGGTATATCTGATTCTTATGTACTACTTTCCTGATGATGGTTCTTTTTCAATGAGCTAATTTGTTTTGTGGGTGCAGACGTTTGGAGATTTCTCAAGATACAGGGGTGGCCGTGGTGGCCGTGGTCCTGGACGTGGTGGACGTTCTCGAGGTTCATATTATGGAAGAGGAGGATATGGAGGATACAGCGGAAATGGGTATGGTTATGGTTATGGTGGTAGAGGCAGAGGCCGTGGTATGCCATCCCGTGCTTCATAAAAGAGTTTGCTGTATTATCTCGAGCTTGAGCTAGAAGCAACTATCTGCCTCTTTTAGGCAGGATAGTGTTAGTACTATCTGATCCTGTAACGTTTGTGCATCTTGTCTACGTTTTTAAGGAATAAATTCAGGCTTTAAAAGTATGTTCAATTTTCCTCGGGCTAGAGCTCATTTTATCTAGCTGCTAATTATACAAGCACTATGGCTAGAGTCCTATTGTAGTCTGCTTGCCGATTGCAATGTGAAAATTTGGCACTTACCATTTTCCTTTAGTAATTTTCATGTACAATTCCAACTTTGAAGAAGTTTAATTACTTTAAGAGATTTGTTTGTGTTGTTGAAATTGCAAATATTCTCATATGGATACAATTTCAATGGTGAATATTTCCTGGGAAACCTAATGGGTAGTATTCTTTTAGCAATTCTTAGTCCAACTTGTGGAAGTCACGTATACAAAGCTAATCTGGACGCCTCTAACTTGAATACAGAAAGAAATGCTTCATATTGCATAAATTCTCGGGGCAAGTGAACAAATAGCCATTCTCAGGGATGCTATGTAGAAATTAGCAGAAACTGAAATTCATGATATACTGGCAAATTCCTAAATAGTAACCCTTTAGAGTGGCTATTTGGTGTCATAAATTTTCGTACAAAGTTTTTGGCGAGATAAGATAATGATACATCTCCTAAATATACTTCATTTATGGTGAAATTCTTATGCATTTTATTTCAAACTCACAAATGAAAGCTTGGCATTGTATAACTCCAAAAGGAACGAAACAAGTTCACACATTGACTAAAACCAAACTCAAGAGACTACTATCTTCTATCAAATTGGTAAAATGACACCTGAAGCTTTACTATAACAGCAGTTCTTTCATTATGCAAACATATCCACAAATCCTGAATTCAAATCTAAAAGGAATGAAGTAACACACATTGACTAAAAACAAACTATATAATAACTATCAAAATTGGTAAAATGACTCCTGACTATTTGAAAGAACACTACTAAAAGAATGCAGCTGAAATATGGTTACTGAGTTAAATGGCAACTAGCTAGTTCTATGATTGGTGAATCTGATCATCATTTAAACCACCAATGGACTTGAGTAGAAAGGTTTCAGAAAGTTAACAATTTGTAATAGCAGTTATTTCCACTGAGTAGAATCTGATAGCCATCACCACAGGGACACCTAAAATGCAGAATCAGAGAATTCCCCATTCTCTCCACCCACACAGATTCCTCACACGACGCTTCTGTTTCAGTTTCAGTCTCTGTCTCATTCTCCTATTGATAAACAAGCAAACCCCATCAGTCAACAGAACTAATTCTAAGTGTTCAAAAGGTGAATCTCTTTTGCTCTATTATGAACATTAAACAAAACAGCAAGAACCTCATCAGAGTAAAACACAAAACTAATTCTGAGTGTGTAAATGGCAAATCATTTTCTGCAATATTAAGAACATTAAACGAATCAGCAAGAAACACCATTACAATATACACAACTAATACTAAACAGCAAGTCACAGTATACAGAAGTAATTCTAAACAGCACGAACCCCATCACAGTATACAGGACTACTTCTAAGTTAATATTTTTTGCTCATGAAACAAACCAGCAAGAACCCCATCATATCGCAGTAAGAATCCCATCACAATAAACACAACTAATTCTAAAGTTCAAAAGATAAATCATTTTTTTGCTCTGTCATGAACATTAAACAAATCAGCAGAATCCCATCACAGTAAACAAAACTAATTTTAAGTGGTTAAAAGGTAAATCTTTTCTTGCTCTATCATGAAACATTTAATAAAACAGCAAGAACCACATCACAGTAAACAAAAATAATTATAAGAGTTTAACAGGTGAATCCTTTTGCTGTATTGTGAAACAAGGCTTCTTTTCCTAAGAATGAGATTTGAAAGATGAGTCCCATTGATTTATGTTTTACATGGACATGGATGTTATCATATTTTCTTCTATGATATCTGAAACTTTGTTTCTTAAGTTCAGAATTTTGCCTCAGAAATGGTTACTCCGCACCATGGTACATAATACTGAAACATCAGATAGCTCGTTTGATCAATCAACTCTTCAATACGTCCAAATTTCCTTAAATTAAAGAGTCAGCGATCATTTTGAACCTCAAGAAAGTGTACCCAATAATGGTCTATATTTTATCAAACAACATGATATCTGCTGTAGTTGCAAACACCACCGGTCTTTCCAATTGAAAGTAGTAAATACAACTGTGGTAAAAGAATAGATCCTATGGTCTCGAATACGAAAAATACCTTATAATCTGTTATTAATGAAACTCTAAACTTCAACATATTCCAGTTCAACAAGCTCAAAGTTCAATATGTAAGAATTACATTAATTTTGTGCACTATGACATTAATTAGTACTGCAAACCATGAAAGAATACACAAAGATTTTAGAGACAAAAGTTTCAAACCTTTAAACTCTTGTTTTCTTCAGAGGAAGCTTTTTCTACTTGAGCATCTTCTTGAATCATAAGATCAAACCATTGTCTCATTTCTTTCATTCCTTCCTTCATTCTCTTTAACCTCTGCAAATTACACCAAAGATTAAGTAAGATTCCCATTTCTGTGAATAAATTGAAATTGTAAACCGAAAAGAAGAAATCTCATTGAGATTGAAAACAAACAAACCATTGTAGTAGGAGATTCTGCATTGTTAACAGCACCACTTGATTCTTGAACATTTTGTGACAAGCTACCAGTTCTTGCAAGTGCACTTTGAGTAGGTGATTTTCTCTTCAAATTTAAAATGAAGAATACATCAAAAAAAAAAAAAATTTACTGACAAATTTCATGAACTCAAAAACCTAATAAAATTTTATAAAAAGAAAGAAGAAAAAAACCCAAGTAGAAACAAACCATAGCATTAAGAGATTCACCAAATTCTTGAACATTTTTTGGTGACCAGCTTGCTGTTCTTGACAGTGCACATTGTGTTGGAGGAGTAGTGGATTTCTATTTGAAAATACCCCACACATATTCAAATCAAAGGGAAAATACCCCATTTTTTAGGACAAAAGAGAAACAAAATTTCAAGAACTCAAAAACCCAATAAACAAAAATAAAAAAAATAAGAAAGACCCAAGTTTTAGAACAAACCAAAGCATTAAGAGATTCTGCAATATTGTTAAAAGCTCCACCACCAAATTCTTGGACATTATTTGGTGACCAACTAGCTGTTCTTGACAGTGCACATTGTGGTGGAGGAGTAGTAGATTTCTGTAAATTATAAAAAAAAAAAAAAAGGGACACCCAACATTAAGAAAAATTAAAAAAATTCTGGAAATTGAAAATGAAGAGACACACATGCACACACAAACACACACAAACCAAAGGGAAAATACCCCAATATTTAGGGACAAAGATAAACAAAATTTCAAGATATCAAAATCCCAATAAATAAAAATAAAAAAGGAGAAAGACCCAAGTTTTAGCAACCAAACCAAAGCATTAGGAGATTCTCCATTTTTGTTAAAAGCGCCACCACCTAAATCTTGAATTGTATTTGGTGACCAGCTTGTTGTTCTTGCCAGTGGACTTTGAGTAGTAGCTGATTTTCTCTTATTAGAACCAGAGCCAGAAAATCCAGTCGGATCAGATAAAGTCCGATAAAGTGGTGTAGGAAACTGGGCTGGCACTAACGGCGGCTTTGCCGGAGACGGTGAAGGTGACGGAGTTCTTGAATTTCCGATCAGCTGAGGTTTCAAAAAAGTAGAATTAGATTCTTGGTAGTTGTAATTTGGAAGTGGGAGTTTGGTGAACCCTTCGAGGATATGGTGGTGGTTGTTGGTGTCGCCGCCGCCGGTTGTGGTAGAAATGGGCGGTGGTGGTAGAAGGGCGGTATCAGTGGCGGTTCTTTTAGGGAATGGTTCTTCAAGAGATGAAGTGTAGTTACAGTTTGAATATCTTGTTGTTTTAGTAGTGGAGCCGCCGTAAAGGGTGGTTTTTTCAGGTGATGGGTCGCCGGAGAATTGTTGTTCGGTGGCCGGGTCAGCGGTGGAGTGGTGGTGGAGTGCGGCGGAGCTGAGGTGGAGCATGGCTAAGGGAGAATCAATTGGAGTTGAAAGGTCTTGCAGTTATTGAAAACTCATTTCTCTTTGTGAAAACTGTATTAACTGAATTTGGAAGATTTAGGCGCGAGAGAATATTAGGCTACATTTTGGATATTTATAGAGTACTTATTATACTTGGGGTGGGGTGGGTTTGGGGGGGGGGGGGTAGATTGGACTCTAAATCTTGATTTTTATATTCAAATTTTTATAACAAATTTTCTTCTTTTGTTCCTTTTTATTTTATTAATTTTCTCCTGCATATAATTTTTCTTTTGTATATGGTGTGGTATATATTGTATTTGCATATATCTTGAAATTGGTTGACAATTTTAGAATAGATTACCAAAAAATGCATATCCTAGTGTTACAAGTCCTTAATTTGAAATAGATTAGTACCAATTAATTAAAATTACACACCAATAGTGATTGAGATAAAAATGAGTAGAATGTCATGATATACTCCAATTCGCCCAACTCAAAATTAATTCTCAAATTCTTTCTTGTTACAAGAGTCAAAAAGTGTTTTTCCCCTTACCCATTTATTCATTCTTTATTTTATTTTCAGATAGACAAATAAGAAACTATTTTAGTCAAATAGAGAGTTGGAAACTAACCACTGTGTAATATAATATATATTCTTTTGGCAAGTGATTATTTCAAGGGCAGTTTACATAAACCTCGATTAATTTTAACACCTTTAATTTGAACATAATGAGCTAATTAATTTTGATACCTCTACTTTGAACTCATAAATAAATGCTTCATAACCCTGAGGGGTAGCTCGGCTGGTAAAGGCTTGAGGACAAAGTCCTTCAGGTCGCCAGTTCGAGCCCCAGCAGGGCCACTGGAGGCATTACAAACCGGTCGCGTCTCCAGGGTCCCGTAGAACTAACCGTGGTGCACCCGCCTTGAAACAGTGGGACCTGGTGGGTACAGCTAGTCGGGTTCGCAAAGCGATACCCGGAAACCATGGATATAAAAAAAAATGCTTCATATGTTACAAATTCTAGGAAGATTTTGGTGAGATAACAAAATGATACCTTTTTTTTTTTTGGAACCCCAGGAAAACCAACTGGGCCATTCCCGAAGTGATCAAAATGATACAGTACCCAAGTATTTATAGTGAAATTCTACTACATTTTATTTCAAACTTATAAAGAAAAGCTTGGATAATACATAACTTCTAGTAAGAGAAAGGCGAGATAAGAAAATAATACATCTCCAAAGATCTTATTGAAATTATATAACCATCTCATCTAAAAGCGTATAAGCTATTAGAGAAAACACACTTTTATTTATTTAATTTTGTTTTCAACACGCGCCTCACATGACACGTGAAAATTTCTCTGATCTGCTAAGAAAATCATCAACTTATTTTTCCGACACTCCTGCTCACGTGCGAGCATAATTATTTTTGATGGGCTAAACACGTGAAAATTCTCTGCTTACTTACAAGTAGCAACAAGGACCTTTCTAGGTGGAAGAGAAGGTCTTCTAGCATGAAGTGTAGCAAAATTATCAAGGAAGAGAACATCATTCTTTTGCCACTTGAATTGTATGCTTTCTTCTTCAATTATCTCTTCACATCTTTTTACAAAATTTTCTGGTATTTCTGTTCCATCAAACATCATAGCTGAGCTTATGTCTTTTCCATACATTCCAACCAATGTATTAAACCACATTTTTCTTCCCTTTCTTCCTTCAAAAACCCTAGTTAAATATCGTGGTCCCAAGATTGTTTTTACACCTCCATTTGGTAGCCATTCCATCTCCATTCCAAGTGCTTTCGCCCTGTACGTAACGAATAGTTATAGGTCATGGGTTCGAACCGTAACTAACGTAGAAAATACATAAAACTTATAATGCTAAGGAAATTAAGTTTTCATAATATTAATTACCTTGTTTCAGCTTCAGTTGGATCAGAAGTACCAAAAGCATCTTCCCAACCTCTACCTCTCATTGAAGCTTTGTCGTTCTTACTTGGAGCAGTGAATGTGTATTTCAATCCTTTTTTTTCAATTTCTTCAACAATTTCTGGGAATTCCTCTATCATTCTTTCTGTTACTCTGAAACTTGGTACAAATGGTGTTTCCCCACCTTCTGGTGGTGGTATTTCACAATACAATATCACTTTCTTTGGGAATTCCTTTATCTATAGCGTGCCATAGAAGAAAAAAAGTTTATTTCAGATTTTATAACTTATATATTTTAACAGCAAAAAATAACGTTTACATTATAAGTATAATTTAACATGTTGTTGTATACTTGTCTCCCTATTTTTTAACTCACTAGTCTAGTCTCACTTAGTATAGACAATTACCTATAGTTATCTTTTAAATAGTTAAGTCTTTTTTTAAAAAGATTAATAATAAAAAAAAAATCCACCATCTGGGAATCGAACTAGGGTCTATACTATTATTTATACTCCTTAATCGCATTTTAAAGCGAAAATAACTGGCCGAATTTGTGGTTTTATTAAAAAAAAATATAATTACCAATCGAAATTGATAGATTTTTTACAATGACCGGCCGAAATAACCAACTGATATCAGTAATTTTCTGAATATTGATTCTAATTTATTTTAAATACAAACCGGCTGAAGTTGGTCGATTTCTTGAAAAATAAACTTCCCGGGATGCAAAAGTAATATTCGGTATTTTGGCGCGAAAATTAAAAGACTGAATTCAGTTGGTTTCATAAAAAAAATTGAAACAGAAAATATTCTCAAAAACCGACCGAATACGAAGTAATATGAACAAAATTTTGAGAAAAAAAATACTTACAAGGACCATTTCATGATGAAAATATATGAATTCAGGAAGGGGTCCTTCATTAGCAGTCCAAACTCTCTTATAAATATGTGTTCTAGGTGCTGGTCCAACATATCTAATATCTTCCCAACCAAAAGTTTCAACAATATCATTAAAATTTTGTGCATTGTTAACATCAAAACCTCGTAAAAGAACAGCACTATTCTTAGTAATCATATTATCAAACCATTCTTTGTTATTGTCCAAAGACTCAAGCAATGATTTAATGTCATTCTTGTTTGGTTCTATAGGGTTTAGAACTAATGGCATGATTTCACCATCTACTATTTTTTCTCCTTCGCATTTGCCTACCTTAAAATTCTTGCAACTGTATTCAGCCATTTCTCTCTTCTTTGTTTTTCTTTTTCTTTTTGTTGAATTGGCTCTTTTGTTTTCTTGGTTTTCTAAGGCTATGGACTGTTGAATTTGAATGAAGGGGTTATGATATTTATAGAGGAAATGGGAGGGGTTAATTATATTACCAACTTTGTGTTTCTCTATGTCATTGTATGGTATATTATTTGTAAAATAACACGGCTTGACGTTTTGTGTGAGTAGGTTTACTAAAATACTAGGTATTCACGTCCTTCTTGGCAAACGGCTACAACATTAATAACCAAAAAGAAAAAAATCAAAAGAGGTAATCTTGCTAATTATATATTCCAATTTCTTAATTAAGATTGGACAAACTATCGCATCTCCGCGACACTTATCTTGTGAATATTTTGGACATTGTTGGATTTTTAAAGTTGTAAAAATGTGAATGTTAATATGCATATGAATACGTGATCATACAAGATTAAAACCAAATATGAGAGAAATGTGCAAATAATACACATAAAAGGTCTTTCCTTTTCTCTCTAAGAAGCAACAAGTGCAAAGATTAGGACATCAAAATTTTAAATAATGAGTCAGACAAATGACCGTGATTAATTAAACATCATCGGCCAACTACTATAATGGGTATATGCTGCAAAATTGGGGGCGTCGACAGTATATTAGGCACTCGATCTTTGTTAACGCCTTAGCACTTCATTGGAGGCATAACAATGACCTCAAGGACTCCCAAGAAAATACTACTTCCATTTTCTCAATTAAAGGGAGCTTGAATTTTACAACATGAATGCGACTAGATTCATGGATGATAATTTATTGATAAATATTTATCCCCTTTCGATGTTTCACACAACCAATTAATACGATACATGTCTTTTCTACAAACTTTTTTTTTTTACTTAACCATGATTAAGTTATGTTTTTTCAAAAAGTGTTACAGTTAATGTTGGTGATGATACAAAATTTGGAGTTGATATTTGTAGAAATGAAGGTGCATCAATGGGGAAACAATAGTTCATTGACGGAGATTCTAGATAGTTCTCATACCTGATGAGTTTCGAAGGTTTGTGTCTGAAAGAGAGAAATTAGATTTTAATGTCAATAAACGGAGGAGATGCAATTGTATGTGATAATTCGATGGCCACAAAAAATTGGATCCAACGGGTCACCAGATGTTTGGGTTTAGGTTTCTCTTCTCACTTTTGGTCTTAACGGCTTTGGGCCCAAATTGGAACAACATTCTTTGGGCCTACTAGAAGGAAGTAGAAGGAAACAGAAGCTACACTTTTTAATTTCTGTATATACAAATTAATTTATTCTTTGATTTATCCTTTAGTTGGTTGTAATACAACTAATAAGAAATGTATAGCTAGCTAGGTAGTTATACAATAGATTTCTTTCTCTGTGTATTTATACAATAGCTTGTACAGACGTTCATTCACATCAACAAATATACAGAAAATTTCCCTCAATTACTCTTCTATTTTGTCATGGTATTAGAGCAGGTTTGAATTACTTGCAATCCAAGTTTTTTTCTTTTGCAAATCCTTTTAGATCTCTTTTCTCCTGTTCCTCTCTGTAATGGCCATTGAATCTCAGAGCAGTCCGCAGTTGTTTCTTCCACTCCTGTTGGAGTTGGATCTCTCCTAGTAGATTTCATGGTTGTTGTTGTGTTATTGATTCAGCATACCCTTACTATGTTCACCCTTCAGATTACCCAGGAATAAACCTGGTTTCTTTAGTATTTGATGGCTGGGGCATGGAGGTTGGAGAAGGGCTGTGGTGATAGCCTTGTCAGCAAAGAACAAGCTAGGATTCATTGATGGATCCCTAGTTGTTCTAGCTGCAGACTCAGGTCTTCAAAAGGCTTGGGCCATATCAAATGACATAGTGCTTTTATGGCTCCTTTGTTCTCTTTTAAAGGAAATAGCAGAGAGTGTGCTATATTCGCATAGCGTAAAAGATCTTTGGAGTGACCTGGAAGATAGATTTGGTCAAACAAATGGAGCTAAGCTCTTCCAACTACAAAAGGAACTAAGTGTTGTGGTGCAAGGGAGTTCAATTTGGTCTACTTACTTCACTAAAAAGAAGAGCTTATGGGATGAGCTAGATGCTCTCAACACATTCTCTGCATGTGTGTGTGAATGTGACTACGGAGGCAAGGCAAAGAGCCAAAAGGCTCATCAGGATGAAAGACTATTATAATTCCTTATGGATTGAATGAGTCTTTCATAGGAGTTAGGTGCAACATACTCTTGTCCTCTCCACTCCTTCTATCGGACAGACATATGCATTGGTGATGCAGGATGAAAAATAAAGGGAAATCTGAGCTAGCCCTGCTTACCTAGGAGACTCAGCCTCTTTAATTGCTCTTAATCAGGCAGTGGGTAAGAAATACAATGAACAGAGAGGTAGCAAAGGAAGTTTCGATGCAAGAAGAAACTCATTAATCTGTGCTTATTGCAAGAAACCAGGACATAATATTAAAAAATGCTACAAGATTCATGGTTTTTCCACATATTTTAAGTTCACAAAACAAAGGAATTTTCAGGGAGGTGTGCAGGCAAATGTTGCATTCAACTCAACTGAAGAAGTAGGTTAAGGAACACCACACAATGCATGAATTCAGACACTTACACAGGAAAATGTAACTCAGCTTCTGCAACTTCTCCATCAGGCAAACATGGGAGAGCAAACAACGTCCACTTCTGATGCTTATGCAAACCTCAGTTGTGCTGGTATAGCCAAAAATTTTAACTCTCATATCTGTTTCATTCAAATTGATGACGAATCTTGGTATTAGATAGTGGAGCAATTAAGCATATGACTTTGGACAAATAGTTTTTCACAGACTTTAAGGCTTTACCTAAAATTTTCATGGTTAAACTTCCTAATTCATATAGATTTAAAGTTACACACTCAGGTTCAGTGTCAATTTTACCTACTGTGGTACTACATAATGTCTTGTATGTGCTCTCTTTCAGGTTCAATCTATTATCTATCCACAAGTTGTGTAGACAACTTCATAAGTATATCCTTTTCACTCCTTTTTCTTGTTTTCTACTGCAGGGCTCTTCAATGAAGAGTCCTCTGGAGATTGGTAAAGAAAAGGGAGGTTTCCACATCCTCAAGTCAAGAGTTTCAATTGCAGCTTCTTGAAGTTTACCTAAGTCTAGAAGTACCTTTGTACCTAGACAGAAATCTAGTTTTGTTCCTTTTTTAAATTCATGTTTTAGTCTTTCTGATTCCAATAAAGAAAAGTTGTGGCACTATAGGTTAGGCCACATGACTTTGAGTAATATGAGAAATGTTCATTCAATTTTAATGTCTTCTTTTTTTTCAATTTTTTTTCTCCATGTGTTATTTGTCCTATGACAAGGCAATCTAAACTCCCTTTAGTTAATCCATGTGGATTTCCGGGGACCTTATAGCATTCCCACATATGATGATTATAAATATTTTCTCACCATTGTTGATGACTTTTACATAGGTACCTGGACTTATTTATTAAGTACCAAGTCTAATACCTTTGTAGTTTTGAAATCTGTCTTAAACATGGTAGAGAGACAGTTTCACACCAAAGTCAAAATGATACGGTTAGACAATGCCCTTGAGTTGGGTAGTGGACACTTTAGTCAGATTATTTTCACTCACAAGGGATCATACATCAAACCTCATGTGTTTATACACCACAACAAAATGGAGTTGTGGAAAAAAAAATATAAACATTTACTAGAAACATCCAGAGCTTTACTGTACCAATCACATTTGCCAATCACATTTTGGGGAGACTGTTTATGAACAACAACTTACTTAATTAACAAGTTTCCTTCAAAGATATTACATCAAAACCCCTTATGAAGTTCTGTTCAAAACCAAACCCAATTATACAAAATCTTAAGTGTTTTGGTTGCTTATGTTTTGTCTCTACTATATCACATAATAGATTAAAGTTTGAGCCAATGGCTATGCCTTGTGTTTTCTTAGGGTATCCACATGGGAAGAAGGGATATAAGGTTCTCAATCTAAAGACTCTTAAGACTTTTGCCTCTAGGGATGTCATTTTTTATGAAGAGTTTTTTCCATTTGCTTCTATGAACTCTAATTCTTCTCATAATCCCTCTTTGTCTTTTGCTAAAGTTAACACCAATACTCCATTTTCTGATGTCTCGCCTATCATTCCCTCAACTCATATTTCCCCCATTGTTCCCTATACACCATCTACTACCGCCTACTCTCCTAAGTTTTCTATTTCTCCTTCTCCTCCATACACTCCTTTGTCTCACTTCTTTCCCTCATCTTCTCACTAACAATCTACTTTTCCTAACTTCTCTTTCCCTCATCTTGTTTCAACACCTATGATAGAATCTCATATCAGAAAATCTGCTAGACCCTATATAACACTTGTTTATCTAAATGATTATGTTTGTAATGCAATTCATCTCATAGATGTGTCTGAGTCATGTTTTCTAGCTTTGGTCACTCCTACCGTTGTGTCTTTTAGTGGATTAACCTCTTCTAACCAATATATGCTTAACTCTCTGTCTAATATCCAAGAACCTATCAATTATGTACATGTTGCTCATCACCCAGGTTGGCAGAAAGCAATGGCAAAGGAAATTGAGGCTATTGAGCTTAATAAAATCTGGAATGTGGTTGAATTACCCCGGGGTAGAAAGGTATTGCCATGTAAATGGGTGTATAAGGTGAAACAACACTAAAATGGCAGCATGGAAAGGCTAAAGGCCAAGTCATTAGAGTTGACATACAGCGAGAAGGAATAGATTTTACTGAAATATTTTCACTAGTGGTCAAAATGACCACTATCAAGTATATTTTGGCTACAACAGTGAAGAGAGGATAGGGACTTTATCAGTTAGCTGTAAACAATACATTTTTACATGGCGATTTAAATGAGGAGTTCTATATGAAACTTCCAGTCGGGATTAGTCCTCCTACTTCTAATCATGTATGCAGAGGGAAGAAGTCCCTTTATGGACAATGACAAACATTCAGACAATGGTATGCCAAGCTTACATCTACCCTCAATTTCAAGGGCTTCACTCAATCTCTAAACGATTATTCCCTATTTTGTAAGATGACAGACTTCTCCATTTCTGTAATTGCAGTCTATGTAGATGATATTTTGTTAACATGCAATGATGATGCTGAATTAATTACATTGAAAGAATTTCTTCATCAAGAGTTCAAAATTAAAGATCTAGGTAACTTCCATTTCTTAATTGGGATGGAAGTTATCAGAGAAGCTCAGGGGCCGATCCTTTATCAACGGAAGTTCGCCTTGAACCTTTTGCAAGAATTTGTCTCCTCTCACTTCCCTCTTGCTTCCTGTCCGTTAGATCCTACAGTAAAGTTTCTTGCTAAAACAGGAGAACCTATTGCTGATCCTACTTTGTATTGCCATCTTCTGGGAAGCTCAACTATTTAACGCATACCAGACCCGCCTTTCCATCACAGTCCAAGCTTCCAGCAGTTAAGTCAATACATGCAAGACCCTCGCCAAGCACGCCTTCAAGCTGCAGTTCGTGTACTTAGATATTTGTTGAAAGATCCGGGTCTAGACCTCTTCATGTCTTCCTCTTCCTCCTTTAAACTACGGCATTTTGTGATTCCGATTGGGTGTCTTGCCTAGACTCGCGCAAATTTGTCAGCGACTTCTTCATTTCACTTGGTTTTTCTTCCATTACCTATAAATCAAAAAAGCAGACATAAGGTTCTTTTATCTCAGCCGAAGTGGAATATAGATCCATGAGACGAGTTGTGGTTGAACTAACCTGGTTAGTTCTCCTTTTCGACGATCACTATGTCTCTATCTCTCTTCCAGTACCACTTCACTCTGATAGTCAGGTTGAAATACACACCGCCAATAACCAAATGTTCTATAAACGCACGAAACATGTCGAGCTCAACTGTCATTTTGTGAGGAAACAATTTCTTGCCGGTCTGATTTCACTATCTTATGTCTGATCTTCCTCCCAACTCGTCGATCTCTTTACTAAGTCTCTCACCGGACCCATTCATCACAATCTGTTAGGAAAGTTGGGGGTTCTTTCCTCCCCCTCCAACTTGAGGGGGGAGAGTTGGTGATGATACAAAATTTGGAGTTGATATTTGTAGAAATGAAGGTGCATAAATGGAGAAACAACAGTTCATTGATGGATATTCTGGATAGTTCTCATATCTGATGAATTTCGATGGTCTGTATCTGAAAGAGAGAATTTAGGTTTTAATGCCAATAAATGGAGGAGATGCAATTGTATATAATAATCTGACGGCTACAAAAAATTAGATCTAACGGGTCATCAGATGTTTGGGTTCAGGCTTCTCTTCTCACTTTTGTTCTTAACAGCTTTGGGCCCAAATTGGAACAACATTCTTTGGGCCTACTAGAAGGAAGTAGAAGGAAACAGATGCTACACTTTTAAAATTTATGTATATATAAATTAATTTATTCTTTGATTTATCCTTTAATTTGTTACAATACAGATAATAAGAAATGTACAGCTGGCTAGGTAATTATATAATAGATTCCTTTCTTTGTGTATTTATACAATAGCTTGTACAGACGTTCATTCACATAGGCAAATATACATAAAATTTCTCCTAATTTCTCTTCTGTTTTGTCAGCTAAGTTGCTTGAGTTGGTACAAACGAGTATGAATAAGTTTTTAATGTGTTTGGAAAGTATATGAGAATTGAATTTGAGCATAATTACGTACTACGTAATTACAAGTAAATACATAATTTGGTCTATTTATCTAATTAAATTATTTTTTCTTTAAATTGTTTAATTGTGATTGAAAAGAGTATAAGTATGCTCTTCAGTTCTTAATGAGACGGTTTAGATTTGCTAGTAATTACATGATATAAATGTTATCCGAAGGTGAATTTCAGTTTTTTTGTTTTGTTTTAATTCTTCATTTTCAATAGTAAAATTAATCCTCTAACCTTCCGCCCAAAACTCTAATAAATTGGTATCATTCAACCCTTAAGAAGAATATTTTACACGCAGACCCCCTAAAGATAACAGATGTCAGAAACTTATGTCGCACATTACGTTTTGACCTATGTAATAAATTCAAATCCACAGTAACAATAACCGAAACCTCTCTACTCTATTATTAAGGCTGAAATGTGATTACAACTCAAATATCAAGATGCAACAACTTAGTAGCAGAATTACA